CTCCAAATTGCGGGGCGAATTAATTCCCAAAGTTCGCGATCCGTATCGATACAAGGATTCGGGTAAAATACGCCGAAAGGAAATGAGATCTCTCGGAATGGGACCCAGGATCTTGAATATGCAAGCCGTGAATGTTAATTGGAATTAATTAATCCGACCGGTGCGCAGGCACGCTCGAAAGGGTTTGATGGAAGATTAAAGCTCACACTTTGTTTCCAAACGAAGGGAGCCCGGTTTTTATCGAGGGAAGGAAATGATCTAATTCAGGGAATAAATTATCTGATTCCGATAATCTCGGTCAGTTTGAATACGAGTGCCTGCACACGAGAACATTTCCCTCGGAAAATGAATTATTCCGATTTCTTGAGATAGGAATTCTTCAACTAGGAGTTAAAGATCTCCCCTAAAAGTGTACCGAAATCCTGCGTCGGTACTTTCATCTCTAGTGTTATAAACTATCGCTTTTATAACTGCCGAATTAATTCCACTGGGGAAAAAAAAAAAAAATTCCCTCTTTATAGGAGGCTTCTGTAATAATTAATTTGATAACAGGCGTTTAGCATGTAAGTTGTAAGTCTGTCAAATTCTAGCGAAAGGTGGCTCGATCCGCATGAATAATTTCCGGAGCGACCCTTGATGAAAGAGAAGATCATGACTGATTCATGAGATGCGTTGATATTTTCAAATGATTTCACCGATGCTCATGAGGCCGCCTTGTAATCATGACAGCTCGTACCTTCGACGTTTATCACGGAGCTAGTGCATTAACTCCCGTAAGATCGAGCCATAATTCGCGATACATCATTCGACGATATTTTTCGCCCGCCATTTTTGATAAAAAATTACTTTCATTTATCTAGAACCAAGAATACATATGTTTCTCTTTTATTTTTTCTTTTACGAAATGTCATGCGTTGAAGTTTCAAATGATTAGGTGCACCCGGTTTGAAGGCAAGTTTTATAAATATTTTGACGTTTCATATATATTTAATGACTCTTTCGTGTCATCTTAATGATTTATGCTCTTCAGAGGTCGTGCACCATTTTGCGATATGCATATTGCACCGGATTAGGGCGATTACCTGCTGCAAATTTATCGTCGATACTTGAAATCGATTGCTATTTTCAATGCTTGACTAATCGTTCCTCGGTACTGCGCCTGGATTGTTAATAACTTTTTAAAATTGCGAACTTCGCAGAACGTCCTCCTCGCGTTCTCCTTTCCACCGGGAAAAAGTGACACCGTTTAATAACGCGTCGATGACGCTACCAGTGCATTTGATGCACCTGCGGACGGTGCATCATCCCATGAGAGGTGCATCCTAGGTGCACAATATCCTGAAACGATTTACCCGGTGCTTTGTCCTGTCATTTTGTAATCATGGCAGCTCGCTCCTTCGACGTTCAGTGCCGGTTCGCGTTTTACGCTCACCTAAGATCACGTCTCAATTTGTTATACCATGCAATACGCAATATACAGGTATCATCCGAGCCACGCAAGATGTGCGGATATTAATTACTCGGAGGCGCTATTCTGTCGATATTACGATCTGTAATGCAACTCACCTACGAGAGTATTGTCTTTTTTCCTCCGCCATGAGCGAGGATGTTAAAGGTCGAAAAATCGCCGCAAAGTTATTCCGAGCCGAATCACCGTCGATATCTAAATCCGGCCATACCAACTAAACAGGATTACAAGAAAGTTAGTGCGTGTATAATATTAATAACGCGGATAATGCGATTACGCGAGGTATTACTCGATAACGTGGGATCGGCCGGTAACACCTATGACCTTATGAAGATGCGGAACGTTTGTCAATTCGTCTAGTTTGATTGTAATAATTCCGTGTCTCATCGAATTTACACCTGTACTTTTACCCGTTAATGCGGCGAAATTAATGTTAACGACTATGTTAATAGAATCTAAGGTGGCGCCCGAGTTGCAGCGTTGACATTATCGAGCTTTAGGACGTGACAGTGACATATAAAAGTGACATTCCCCGCTTCGATTCCTTTTTTTCTCTTCAAATCGGATGATGCATACCGGCGAGCTATACTTCTGCAATTTCTTTATCGAATAACCCGAAGCTTTGCCGCCTTGTAATCACGGCGAATCGGCTTTGATGTCTGTCGATACGCGACTTGCGTTTATCTAATTTCTCCCGTTCGAAATCGTTGGTACATCGGATGCGCAATGCCGCACGCAATTGTCAGGTACACGCGTTAATAACCTCATGGCGCCTTCCGGGAGGGAATTCACCGGCCGTTTTTTGTCAAAAAATTTATTGAAAATTTGCTTTTACAGGGCTAAGAAAAAATCAGAGGAGTCTCGTCTCATCACGGAGCAGGACAGACAAAATCGGTATCGTGCAGAAAAGGAGATGCAGCTTCAAGGTCCAGCGTGCACTCTCCTTGCATCCCGTCTTAATTTGCGATACGACGAGCACGCAAGAGATACTCCCTCGGTGAGGACATTAATAATCCTTGGCGGCCATCCACCGTCGATTTTACGATCTGGAAAACGGTCCATCCCGGCATTGTTTTTTCCAGAGAGCGCCGATGTTGCGGAGGTTCGCCCACGCACGCCGATTGCCCTCTTCTCGTTTTCCTCTCGTGACGGTCCTCCGTTTGCGCAACCACCTCGAAGAGCACCATCGAAGAGGATCTCGAAGACCGAAGCTACGCGTCACTCGCTAATAGCGACCGAGTTTCCGATCCCCTCGATTATTAGACCGCGCCGTCGACGAAGTGGGACGAAGAGTCGGATGAAATCGGCCGAAGTGGGACGAAACTCATCCTCGATCGACATTAAGCGCTTCCCCGCCGCGAGAGACGGACGTGCACACGGACTGCCCGGTGTGCAACGACCATTTCAATTCCGAAGCCGTCTTTCAGGGATTTCGACACCTCTGGCCCTACGTCCACTTCTAGTCGGCGTCTCTGGTCTACCTCCCGCAACCGAGTTTCCTCACCTGGTCACCGCTCGAGGATCTGCAAAAATCGCCGGCTGAACTTTCGAACCTCGAGATGACACGCTGCCTTTCTTTCCTTTTGTTACGCGCCTCGGATAAATGTCAAAACGCTGCCCATTTCATTCGAAATGGCATGCGAATCATTTTATAAGAGGTAATTAAAGAGGGGGAAGAAAAAAAAAATCATAAATCGATTGACCAGAGATTTAAGGTGGCGTAATCTCTGATGTTTGGTCAAATTGATGTGTAATGACATCGGGGGTACCGAATGTGGTTTTAGAATGATGTGTTTGGAGATTTGGAATGTCTAATATTTGTTAGAGTTGACGTGTAATGACATCGGGGATGTCGAACATAGTCTTAGAGTCAGGAATACGGAGGTTTGTCGGGAGGAATAAGTGGAGCCGTAAAATTTAATGTTATGGCCGGGTTCGATAGTTCACTCGAGCGGATGCTGCGGAAACGATGATGTCGAGCGATGATATAATCGAGGGAAAAATTCGGTGATGGCTGTAATCGTAACAACGAATGCCGGCGAGAAAGCGCGCTCGGAGGCGTCTAGAAAATCGACGTCGATCCGATTTACGGTAAGCGGAAGGGCGCCGAGAGAGACGCCGGGCCGATTAAACGGCACGGGAATCACGTAATTGATAATAAACTTTACGCCCGTGCGAATTGCATAAGGAATTGTCCATCATGCGCCGCTGCATTATTGTCCCCGAAGGCAGCGCATAAAGCCAGATTAGACGAGAGAAAAGTCATCAGCAAGAAATGAGAGTCATAACATGGCGTATCATCCCCACATACGACCATTACCGACACTAAAGTCGAATCTCACTACCGTTCCAGGGATATCAAAGCGACCTCCCGAAATACCAGAAGACACCGCACAGAGAATCAGCGAATCGAGCCCATCCCCGAAGTCGATATCCTCTTCAGGGCGAAATTGGAGAACCTTTGGAGTCCAGCAACCCTTTGGCGAGCCATAGACAGCAGACCCGAAACGCTGCAGTAAAAGAACTTCTAAACCCTTCCAGCACCTCAAAGAGGGTAAAACACCTGAAAACCGAGAAGCTCCTCCAGGTGACGTGAGCCCTCGAAGCTGGTCACCTCTTAATTCCTTGGTCAATTCCCTCAAATTTCTACACAAGACTCTTACATGTATTCCAACGAAATAATTTATGCCGAGCCAGAAAAGCTCGATTTGGAAATGAGACATTTTTCAGGGTGTCTGGTCATATTCGGTGCTCACGAGTCACGTGGTAATATTTTGGAGCTTTTGGGAAAGTGGCTTCTTTTAATCGGTTTCACGTCACCTTAGGGCGCTTTGAAACGTGTCTTCTAGGGTGATGGACGCTCTGCCGCCGACGATGCTCTCGGTCAAAAGGAACATTGTGGAATACGGCGGATCGGAAGATGTTACTCTACTTGCAGTATTTCACTTTCACTAACCCCGGCCTCCCACGAGCTCATCTCCCGGAGATTCCCCCAGCCGGGCACCATCAGCGGGTCACTTACGTCGTGAGGTCGTTCGTCGTTTGCGGATGGCATGGCATGGCATGGCATAGCAAGACATAGCAAGGCGCCCCTCTCGCATCACCACGTAACGATGGAGCAGATGTCCTCTGGAGGTAGGGAGGACCCGAAGGATCCGCGAGCATCCCTGAAGAACTGCCTGGTGGGGATCTGGAACATTTCGGGGTGCAATCTCGGGGTATATATGGTCGCAACGACACCTCCACCATCAGTCACCTTCTGACTTACCTACGTCCCAGTGTTCTGTCGGGATCGGTTAGGTGAGTTGGACTCTTCAGGGCCTGGAGGACCTCTTCCCCGGGATAGACGGGGCGCCGGCTCCTCCTAGATCCTGGAAGGACGGAATTTTCGCGCAACAGTCCTCGGGAGTGTTTCGCGCCGGTTTTGGCATCGAATTCGGTCGAAATCTGAAGATATCTCTTTTTAAAAAAATCCGCTCCAGGACCGAAGGTGCTCGCGAGATTCGGTGCAGATTGGGATAGGGCATGGTGGAGTCGAGTAGGAGTGTTGAAATTTAATTAAAGGCTAGAATATCTTCGGGGAGGAAATTTTGGAATCGAGGAAAGGATACTTTGCTTCGTTTTCGGTATCTTTTGGATTCTGATGAGCATTGCATTCATTGGAATTTTTGGAAAAGGGCCGTGACTGGAAGGATATTTTTAATATTTCGTTGTGTACGAGTGAAAATTGGATTTTTTTATTAATTCTTTTTATTCCTGCTTGAATGTGAATTTCGAGGTTGAATTCCTGCCGATGCCTTATTTTGATACCCTGGAAACGGACGGAGGTTTTGCACAGAAGCTGGGGACGCTTCAGGGATGGAATGTTTAATTTGGGCTGTTTTAAAAGCTTTTTGAAAGCTCCCGTGGAATATAATGTTCTTTCCGGATAAAGAGGCCGCTTTAACGAGGAATGCTCTAAATGAATCCTACCGTACCGGGGTAATTTGGGTAATGTCAGGGTAACGAGGGTTGTTTTTAAGAGACGGCCACTCGGGAGGCTGCTTCACTCTCGAATGCGCCGTTTACGCAATTGTTACTATTATAATAAATAAAGCCTCTTCTGAGCAGGTTATTTTGCCTCTAGGTCGACGCTTTAAGGAAGGCGGCACCACCAACAGACATGAGGTTGTGTTTGCTGTGGATGGGTGAGTTGCACTTGAAATTAAAAAATTCAATTACTCGGACATACATTAACCCAAAACTTGCACGTCTCCTCCTTCGCACAACTAAGGACATAATTGTCGCACATAATTTGCCCACTCCCCGCGAATCATTCTATTTCTATACTTTTAATTTCACCAAACTTGCGCAAGGGACCTCCACCGTTTAAGTCGAGGAGCTGATAGCCTAAGCGCATCCTTGCGCACTCCTGCAGTCATTTTTAACAATGGAACGTTAAAGTCAATAGGCGGTCCGTCCCAATTCTCAATAAGCACAACGCGAAACAAATGTTCGTGCGTAAATCATTTTCGCTTCTCTGTAAGGGAAATTCAAGATTGCATATCTGGAGGGCATAAACGAGCGGCGATTGTTTCGACGACGAAAGTCCGAAAAGTCTGTGGAATGAAAATAAATCTATTAATTAAAATCCGGGGAAAATGCGTTGAGTAGAATTTTCTAAAAAATGTCTATAGATCCCTTAGGTAGTCGAGGATCAAATGGATTTATTTACCATCTCGTGGTAAACGGTCCTTAATTTTTTATTGTCTTTTGCCCGGGCTAATGGGGGATCGAGGGAGCTGGTAGATTTAATTTGTATTGTTGCTTCTTACCGCGGTAGCCGCGCTAATTCAGACAAAAGCCGCCGAAGAACCATTCCTTTTTCGTAATTTCCTCTAATTAAGGTAAACAGAAGATAAGAACCGGAGGTCCTTGCAGACAGTGGCATTGTTCGGGAAACTTTTACCTTCTACGTGGCAGACTCATCCTTTACGCTCGGGTCATCCGCCATGAAGATATGGGTCAAGTGTATGCAACGACCAGCAACGCGATAATTTGACCTACACGTGTTTTTTTACTCACTTTCCGAATTCCGGTACCGAGTCGAGACCCTATCATTATGCCAATAAATAATCGGAGGAGTAAAACGCGGTGTCGATAGTGATAAACATAAAAGAAACATAATGTCCGCTGGGAGGCAACAAAATGGTAATTCATCTCGACGAACAAATGCACTCGCCGAGGAATTTAGGATTAAATGACGAAACGGCAATCACCAAATTACCCCTTACGTGAAATGACCTCACTTTGCTTTTCTGCATTTTCTCCTCTCTCTCTCTCTCTCTCTCTCTCTCTCGAGCGATGCACACGTCCCTCTTTCGTATAGAAAAATGCATAACTGACGGTTGACGTAACTTTTCAACACAGGCTCGATCACCAGAATCCCATTATTTATTTCTCAAGGAATTAACATTTACTCATGACTTAATTATCAAGAGTTGAAAATTAAATTCCTCAAGGCGATGCGAGAGGTCAATGAAATCCTTGAACTGGGTTAACCGAATCGTTAAAAACATTGCAACGTAAATACATAGGCTCTAAGGAAAGTCCTGACATCCATGAAATTGTTTAAAAAATTTCATATAGATACTCAAACAATTTTTTATTTAAAAAAAAATGGAGTTTATGGGCGGGAGGACCTTCCTCCCGACCTCCATGTTCACGTAGGGAAATTCGCAAACAATTCTTTACACCCAGTTTAGAGAATAGTTTAGTCAAGGATGTAAATATCTTATATAAAGGGAAATCGATTTTTGAGAGGAGCGATAAACGTTCCAGACATGCGCAATAGGAGAAAGCACGATAAGAATGTTGAAGCGAAGAGTGGGCGCGCGTGCGAAGCTCACACGAGAGAAATGGCTTGAAAAATCCTGTGACATAACTTCCCGGCAATTAATTAGGAGCATTGTCGAGGGACACAAAGCGGCACCCGGGATTCTCACACCAACCGCGTCCTCAAAGAAGTCGCACGCATCCGCAGGCGAGCTGGAGAGGACGTTCGTCCGCTCGAAGCTCGCCCGCAGATTGCCGATCTCCAGGTGTCGAAACGACACTTTTACATTCGCCACGGTTCACACTAATTTCGTTTCCCCTGTTTCAGCCTTGCTGGCTATCCTCCACGCATCCTTGGTGAGTTTACAAAATGCCCGTCACGGGTGGGTCGAGAAGGGAAGGCGCGATTCGCCGAGGCTCGAGGCTGATCTCGAGGCCCGAGTCGCTAAAGAAGATGGCCTGGGTCATTATTAACGACTTACAATAATTCCCGTCGGGGAATTCTCCAGGAATCCGGGATTTCCTAAGGCGACTCGCCATTAGCCAGCTCGCTTCGTTACCGATATGGGATTTTATGCGAATCGGAGCGCTCTGTTGGACTTCGTTCTCCATTGCACAAGGATTCGATCCTTAGCGAGACCGCCTTTGAGCCATAGGAAGACCGCGGCCTGTAAACTCGGTCCCGATGCACTTGTCACGACCGAGTTGAATTTAGAATCAATGGGGTTAATTAGAGGAGATATTGAGAGAGTCGTCTTCCATTGGGAATGGTCGAGGACCTAACGAGAGTGATCTTTTTCAGGGTCAAGATGGGTACGACTACCCGAGACCGAGTAAACCGCTGATACCGGGAGGTGCGCCAGGTGGAGGGTCGAAGCCAGGAGGTCCTGGGAGTTCAGGACCAGGAGGGTTTCCCGGAGGACCCAGTGGTCCCGGTGGACCGAGTGGACCAGGGGGACCAGGGGGACCAGGAGGTGGAGGCTACCCATCGGGTCCATCCGGTGGACAGCGACCTGGAGGAGGATTTCCTACCGGAGGGCAAGGGCCGAGTGGACCTCAAGGTCCTGGAGTACAGGGTCCTGGTCAAGGACCTTCCGGTGGTTATCCTAGCGGCAGACCATCGATTCCTTTCCCGAGCCCTGGGCAAGGACCTAGCGGTGGACAGGGTCCTTTGGGTTCTGGTGGCAGACCGGGTCCTGGAGGACGACCAGGAGGACCGGGACAAGGGCCAAGCGGCGGATTTCCGTCCGGACAAGGACCTTCTGGCGGATATCCTGGGCAAGGGCCGAGTGGTGGATATCCTTCTGGTAGACCCGGGCCCAGTGGGGGATATCCTTCCGATGGGCAGGGACCTTCGGGTGGACAAGGACCTTCCGGGTTTCCATCCGGTGGCCAAGGACCTTCGGGAGGGTACCCGAGTGGAAGACCAGGGACCGGAGGACAAGGACCTCAAGGACCGGGTGGATATCCTAGCGGAGGCCAGGGTCCTCAGGGACCGGGAGGCTTTCCTGGCGTTGGACGACCGGGTGGATATCCTAGTGGAGGACCCAGCGGTGGGCCAGGTCCTCAAGGACCTTCGGGTGGATATCCTAGTGGAGGACCCAGCGGTGGGCCAGGTCCTCAAGGACCTTCGGGCGGATATCCTGGCAGTGGACCCAGCGGGGGACAGGGTCCTCAAGGACCTGGCGGATATCCTGGTGGAGGGCCCAGTGGAGGACAGGGACCTCAAGGACCTCAGGGACCTGGCGGGTATCCAAGTGGAGGACCTAGTGGAGGACAAGGACCTCAAGGACCCGGGGGCTTTCCTGGAAGCGGACCACGTCCTGGTGGTGGCTATCCTGGAGGTGGACAAGGTCCTCAAGGAGGTTTCCCTGGTAGTGGACAGGGTCCTCAAGGACCCGGTGGTTTCCCAAGCGGTGGGCAAGGTCCTCAAGGTCCTGGAGGCCCTGGAGGATTCCCTGGCGGTAGACCTGGCGGCTTTCCCTCGGGTGGACAAGGACCTCAAGGTCCTGGATTCCTTGGAGGTCCGGGCGATTTTGGTGGAGACGGCGACGATGGGAGTTACGACGAGGGTGACTATTCGGCCATTCCTGGAGAACCGGGACGCGACTATCCTATATACGCTGATATTCCTCAGACTAGTTTCAGTTGTGACGCTCAACAATATCCCGGGTACTACGCGGATGTAGAAGCTCAGTGTCAAGTTTTCCATATATGTGCCAATAACAAGACTTACGACTTCCTCTGCCCCAACGGCACGATCTTCCATCAGCAGTTCTTCGTCTGCGTCTGGTGGAACCAGTTCGACTGCAACTCCGCCCCGAGTTTCTACTATTTGAACGAAAACCTGTACGACTATAGTATAACGGGTAGTCCAGGACCTTTCGAGCCTCAAGGACCACAGGGACCAGGTGGTCCAGGTGGATTCCCTGGTCAAGGACCACAGGGACCAGGTGGTCCTGGCGGATTCCCAGGTCAAGGACCACAGGGACCAGGTGGTCCTGGCGGATTCCCAGGTCAAGGACCACAAGGACCAAGTGGACCTGGAGGATTCCCAGGTCAAGGACCGCAAGGACCAGGCTATCCAGGCGGTAGACCTCAGGGACCATCAGGACCCGGCTTCCCCGGTCAAGGACCACAAGGACCAGGAGGACCGAGCGGACCAGGTGGATATCCAGGATCTCAGGGACCATCCGGCGGCTACCCCAGCGGACCTCAAGGACCTTCGGGACCATCGGGACCATCCGGTCCAGGGTCACAGGGTCCATCGGGAGGATATCCAGGCGGACGACCACAGGGACCCTCCGGACCAGGAGGTCCTGGCGGCCCAGGCGGACCAGGAGGATACCCGCAGGGCCCTGGCGGACCAGGCGGATTCCCTAGACCTCAAGGACCTTCCGGCGGTCCGCAAGGACCTTCTGGTCCTGGATCTCCCGGCCAAGGACCGCAAGGACAAGGTCCATCCGGATATCCAGGTGGCAGACCGCAGGGACCTTCGAGTACATCTGGTCCAGGATATCTCACTCCTCAGAAACCGGTAGGAGGTCCTGGAGGATTCCCCGGCGGCCAACCAAGCGGTCCTGGAGGTTTCCCTGGCGGTCAACCAAGCGGTCCCGGAGGATATCCAGGCGGTCAACCCAGCGGTCCTGGAGGATATCCAGGCGGCCAACCCAGCGGTCCTGGAGGATTCCCAGGCAGCCAACCCAGCGGTCCTGGAGGATTCCCAGGAGGACGACCCAGCGGACCAAGTGGACAACCCAGCAGTCCAGGCTTCCCATCGAGACCGCAAGATGGCGGTCCTGGAGGCTACCCAAGCGGGAAACCCAGCGGCCCTGGTTTCCCAAGTGGACCTTCCGGTCCCGGTGGATTCCCCTCCGGGAAGCCACCTCAGACGGATTCCCCATTCCCATCCCAAGGACCCTTGAAACCAGATCGCGAGTATTTACCTCCGCGGGCCGGGTAACCGCGTAACCGAAGCACGAACGCATAGCCAATGCCCATAGTGATCCTACGTGGTTGGTGCTGCGATTTATCTGTAAATACGAGCCTCTCCTTACCTACTAGTAAGCTAAGCCATCAGACCTAACTTCTACTCTACTTACTGCATCTACGTAAACATCTAAACCTACGCATAACTACTTCTAGGAATTACTATTAATTTTTAATTTACTCTGCAATACCCGCCGGCGTCCAGAGTGCCAGTCGTTGTCCTGGGGATTATCCAATGCGTATTGGGAATTTTTGGGGAGGTTGACAAACCCTAGAAAAAATCAAGACGTTCCACCGAAGGACGGACGTCGGCTTTTCAGCCTACGAGTATTATTACGCAATTGTATTTATTTATTCAGCTTGGATAAGTACTTTCCCCGTTTTAGCGCATGTCGAGGCCACTCCACAATGGATACAGGCGAGAGGTTGAATAGCGACTCGGACCTGATATATCCGAGGGGTGTCTCGACTCTTCTTCCCGATTTCTATTGAGATCGATCAATCGATATCGGCGCCTAGAAGGAATATCCGAGGCAGACTCGGATCCGCCTAGATCGGCTCGTAGCGCTATCGCCGTCTTTGATTTAGCAATGAGCATGACATAATTACGATTTTATATATATATATTTTTATAACAATGGTTTGAGACTCCTGCGTGGGATGCCATTATGTATATTTTATACGCGAAATAAAGGAAACTCGTTTGCAAGACTCGACCCACCTCCTTCATTCCGTCGCGGTTACTTAACGCCTCGGCTCGCGGAACTTTACTTACGCGAGAATTACTACATATTGCCTTTCCCTTTCCTTTCATTAGCGTAATTAGTTATCGCGAATTGTCTTCGCCGGTGATTACCGCGGAGTCGCGTGCGGTAACGTGGGGGAAATTCAATTCGACACAGCTCGACAGTCTGCGAGCACTTTTCGCGGATTTGCGCAAAGAGGGGTATCGAAAAGTGTTGTTATAACTCATTTCTGAGATATAAAAAATATACAGGATTTAGGGACCCTAGATGTGCCCGTGAAAAATGACGGAGGTGAGAATCAGGGTTCCTAGGATCTTTTTTTTAATTATTCACGAGGAAAGGTCTCGACGTACAATTTCTGGCCTACCGTACTCCATGTCTCGGTGTCACGCGAATCTGACAATTATTTGGACTTTCACACGTTACGCCAGCTCTTTTGACACATGTAATCTAGCTCGTACCGTGTTACAAAACCTGGTAGGCAGCACGAAAGGTGCGATCTGGAGCACAAGGCTAAGGAAGACGAGTTCATGACCTGCGGATGATTATTGAATCGTGATAAGCGAACTAGAGCATTTATCGAGGAGTCGAAATCCGAGGTGGGAAATCGGTGATTAGCCAAACTTTTCGGGTAGGTCGGGGTAAAGGGCGCCCTTAATGGCACCAGGAGATGAAGAGGCTCCTCCACGGGCTGAATAATTGGCACTTTCGAAATAAGAGCGCCTCTAATGACTGCATTTCACTAATCATTTCTCTCCCCCCAGACCGTGGGAAACCGGGAATTCCGAAAAGGAACGGTAGGTGTGCCTTAATTCCCTCGCCTTAATTTTCAACTCCTACTAAATTACTGTCTCATTAGCGTTCGAGTGCTCGACGTCCTTCGTTATTCATCTCGCAACGTGAATGGAATCTTCACGGAGAGTGACACGATTTTCTGGGTTACTCTTAAAGCCGCATACGTTGATTTAACACCTGCTAACAGGTGACACTCGTGATTGTTTATTCCATAAAATGAATGTTTTCACTTTTTTATAGAGGAAAAATTTTCTTTCATCGGGGAACTTATTGCATTTTTTGTAGGACAAAAAATTGCTATCGGAGGACCGAATCTGGCGATTCAAAGGGTATCGATCCTTTACCCTATTATTATTGAATAATATTTCAATGACGAATGTGCCAGCGCGATTGGCACTCCGGTGAATAGAGCTGAAGAAACTCTTCAGGGTCCACATATAACTAGTTCATTCATGATTCGATACCGAATGGCTACCTGTGTGCTCCAGACCATTCACTTGCGCTTATAGAGCTCCCATCACATGCTAAAGGGAAATGGGGATTCAACAAAAATTCATTCCCGGGAAAACGTAAAGCCTAAGCGCCGAATCGGACTTGAATGCTGCGGAAATTTGTATGACTGCGAAAACCGTATCACTGCGCATATACGTTGCGCAATCAGCTGATTGGCTGAATCAAAGGGTAAAATTTAAAAAGAAAAAGATAGAGGTTTAGATGACATTAGATCTCAGCGACAGAGCTTTACATGGGTTCGGATTTTGTGGTGCAATTCAGACCGGGGAGGAAATAATGTCGCAAGAACTTGACATTGAATTTTTTTCCTCCGCTGGAACAAGTGCAATTATGATGTACGTCACCTTCCATTGTAGGCTGGCTCGACGAAAAAGGCATAGAAAATGCAAAAGGCGGTCAAGATGACGTTACTGTCGGTGAATCTCTGAGGACCATAAGAGGTAAGAAGTTCTGGTGCACCTCGACACGAAAGTACCAAGCCTTATCGATCCTGATTTATCAGACACCGTTCCGATGGCTTGTTACCATCTGACGTAGACGATTTACGGCGACGAGAAAATAATTGGAGCGTTCTAAAAGGGTGGGAAAAATAATTAATCCACGGCATTGGGTGTAACTATTTGGGTGGTACAATTTAATAATAATTTTTATGCCCATGGATTAATCATAAGGATTTATTTGAGTACCTCTTCAGGGTCGCCGCTATTCGATAAGGATTATAGACTATTGGCAGGACATGGAAGGATAAAAAAAAACAATAAGTGCGATGCGCGTGGCGTATAATTTAATAATAATTACATGCGTGCATGGATTTGACGTATGGATTTTTCCCCCATTCGCCAGGAGTCTCTTCAGGGTCGACGGGAACCTCTTCGACAACGCCACCGCCATTCAACAGGGCATAAAGGCGAATGGCAGCACGTTAACGATCAGCCCAGATTACCTGGCGAAAATAGAACGGGTATCTCGGCAAAGTTCCTCTGATAGGTCTCGGAGTTCGTCCCTCTCGAAGTACCTAATCTCAATTTTATCACGCGGCGCGAATAACCCGCTCGCAGGGCTGAAGAGAAATTCGCGGGACACAATGGACGTCGACTTCGCGAGTTCCCGCGGGGAGACATTCTATCGACAATTCCAGGGAAAAAATATCGGTCCTGGGGAGCGCGATTGTCTACCGAAACGCATTGCTGATAGCACAGTCGCTTTACTTTCCAGTGCATCGGCGGTCGGCACTAAAAGTGCACTAGAAATTGCCGAGGCCCTAAGGAGACTCTTCCATGATAAAAAATCAGGGTGATTTATTAGATATTTAAGAGGATGCGGAAATAATCAACATTTCTTCTAATTAGTGGATCCAAGGAAGTCAGAAAATGATCCATCTCGTTCTTATAAAGAACGGCGAAAAGCCATCTCGAGGTGTCCACTGCACCGGATTAATTTTTCTTTTTTTTTTTCAACGACCAGCTTTTGCTTTCAAGTCGCCCGATGCAATTTCCAGCGTTTCACGGTCCTTAGGATTTGCCGACGCCGCGATATCCTTGTTTGAAAAAGTCGAGCGGATTTCTGCGGAGGGAAGGAAAGAAAGCAGTTGACGAGCTTCCGAGGCTTTTCAAGGCTGGCGCGCCTTCCCTCCTCGGCTCTTTAGATTTAGCTGGTGGAATAATTACCAGCTTCCATGGAGTCCTGGAAGGTGCTCAGATAATAAACGAGCGGCCTTAAAGCGATGTTAATGGACAAGGAATATTATCAGAGCCGACACCTGGAGAGAAGCGCCTTAAGTATGTCTCCTGGGTGGTCATAAATCTTGGTACCACTGGTACCACTGGTATCACTGGTATCACTGGTATCACTGCTGTCCCCGGTGTCATCGATCCTGTCAGCCGTGTCAGCAACTTCGTCGGTGTCACCTGTCCACGCCTCTGCAATTGCATCCGTGATTTATCCATAATGCATCCACAATGCATCTGTAATGCACTCATAATGCGATTCGAGGGTCACTCACCATCCTTGTCAGGGACATCATACACCTCATGATAAAGCCTCCGGGTTATCACCTTATCAGGATGCATCGAGAACCCGAAGACGACCCTGAAGGGGCAGATATACCAGGAAGAACCAGAGATATCGCACTTACTTATCATTCCTTCGACTCATGACTTAATAGTTTCGAGGATCTCTTCGACTTTCCACGTAGGTCTCCTCGTGTCTCCGATGCATTATCTATGCAACTGGGACCGGTTAGAGAGATCAGGGATCGGTTGCCGTCATTGTCAGGGACGGTGCATCGAGCATTCACGTAATCCGACCTCGTGCGTGTCGAGCGGTCGTTAGCGGCTCTTCAGGGAGTCGAGGCGATATGTCATCGGCTTATCGATTTGAAAGCCGCCGACCCTTCGATATCACTAAAAAACCCGGAGCCTCGAATATCGTCTCCACCCTCCCGATCAATTTTCAAAGGACTTTTTCATATAAACTGTCGAAGCGGTACCTACATCTCGTGGCATATCTCGTGTATACTTTTAAAATTAATAAAGGGAGGTTCTTTTATCGTGAAGCATTTACTTTTATTTTCTAGGTTTCATGTTTGATTTTTTTTTTTTAAGTAGGTTCTTTGGTACCAAGCGGAGAACGGGAGCCGCATAATTAGGCCGGTTTGTTTCTTCGCCCCGTCGTCGCCATCGCCGCCATCTTGGATTTCGACAGCCATCTTGGATCTTCTTGACAACATCCGGCAGCCGGACGCGAAGTATCTGCCCTCGGCATTCCGATCACGCCGAATTCCTTGCTGGCAGGCCCCTGGAAAAGGCATTGTCATGAGATAACCATCCGATCCATCCCAACGATCTTTAAGATCATGACGAAACCCCGCGGCAAGTAGGTCCTAACCAGTGTTCTGCCATTTATAGTACAATAAATCTCC